AAATAAAATTCTATTGTTAAAGTCCTCCAGTCTGTGGTACTTTGATATGTAAACCCTAGCAAACTAATATATGTAGAAAGGAATACTAGAACATAAGCTCCATGAGGGCAGGAATTTTTGTCTTTTTTGTTCACTGGTATATCTCAAGCAACATATCTCAAGCAACTAGAACAATGCCTAGCAAATAATAGGTGTTCAATAAATATTTTCTGTCGACTAATAAATAAAGCAGATTAATAAAATTCATCCCACAGATGACTATTAAATACCACCAATATTTAAGAAAATGCTTTTTATTTTCACAAGACCTGAGAACCTGAACTTCCAGTGCTCTTACCGAGTGCTGTGGTGTAATTCGTCTGCCACCACAGCTCAACTGTATAAAATCCTCTGGTGAAACTCTTGTTATGATTCAATTCCTGGAATGATTTCCTTATGAGAAGAGGTAGGAAGACAAAAAAGCTGCTGTAATACAATAAATGTGAATTAATCCACATAGAGAAACAGATCAAACTTATTAGTCTCATCCTGAGGGAAATGCCACAGATGTAACTTGCTGGTATTGCTGTTCTCTCAAAATTATCTGGTTAGTTGATTTCACTAAAGGATTGAGAATAGCCTGAGTTCTCGATTTAAAGGAAAAAAAAATAAATTGGGACTTTCCTGTTGTTCTTATTTAAGCATTTCTTGTGTGGACACAGGAAAAAGACTAATTAAATTTCCTTCTGACTTATTCAATTATGGATTCATGGTGCATGTCTGTGTTCAAACCGAGCTCCATGTCTTAATGTCATCACTATTACCATCCATCAATACTTAATTTGGTACCCTGAATATGCTAGAACAGCAAAATAAAACATAAAAGGAATATGGAATATATAAAGTACTCCGATTTTAACTTATATGCAAATATCTTTTAAATAACAACTAGAGGAAGAATTCATCAAAATTATAATAGGTCTGTTAGAGGTGATAAGATTATAAGTAATTCTCTGTCTTCAAATTATTTTTAATTTTATGTCTCCATTTCTGAAACATAAAGTTCACAAAACCCATTCTAACTTCTAATTATTACTGGAAGAAAATTTAAGATTAGAAATTCCTCCCAAGGGAGAGGACAACACACTAATGTTTGTTTTCAAAGTATGTTTAACCAATACATTTATACAGAATATACATAAGAAAACCAGAATCCACCAGTTTTATGGGCAAGTGAAATTCAGCATTTTAAAATCAACATCAGGAAACTCTCATCCAGTCCGAAAATAACTTAAAAATCAAGTCAAAGCTTGTTCTCAGTTTTGGGCCTGGAATCAACTCCCAAACTGATGCAATCTGAAATCAGAGCCAACAAGTGTTTACCAAAGTTTTTGTCCCAAAGGGAGAAGCCTCTTCTCTAATTCTCCAGAAGTGATGCTGTTGGGATTGCCTTGACACTTGAGCAAAGTTAGCGGGTAGGAATACAAACATTAAATTCATTTTGAAATATTTTCCTTTCCAGCAAAAATGAAAGCTAAATATTTTTTCATGATATGCAATTTGGAAATAAACCCTCCTCGACTGAAGGTTTTAATTAGCTGCTTGTACATTTGCTCTTCCTTTCTGGGAACCATAGCATAAACAGGAAGTTCATGCCTCTAGGGTTCATTCATTACAGAATGGAAAAAATGAAGCTGCAGACTTTCTTAAGGATGATTTAGAGAGGAAGGGTCATTAAATTACCATACTCCCCTCCTTATCTTATCCAGGAGGCTTATAAACCAAGTGATTGTACAAGCTGTACTCTATCCCCAGGAATATAAATTTCTTTGCCCGTAAGTGACTGGAAGTCACACTGAGAGCTCTGCACCAGGCTTTTATCACACACTAGCGTGTGCACCCCAAAGCAAAGATGAGCACTTGCTCTCTTGACACCTGTTACAATCGTGTGGTTTCGGTCCTGACAGCCACAAGGCTCCGGAGCTACAATCAGAGAGAAAGTCTACTATTTCATATTATCCAAACACCACAAACTGTTAGATGTTACACGGCCAAATATTGAACACTTTAAAAAAGAGGTGGGGGAGGATCTTTGTGGCCATAGAATAGCTCTGTATCTTGATTGCCATGGTGGTTATCTGAAATCTATGCATGTGATAAAATGGCATAGAACTATACACACATCTGATTGCCACTGTCAATTTCCTGGCCTTGATGTAACCATTGAGGGCAAACTGGGTAGAGAACACACATAACCTCTTTGTACTGTCTCTGCAACTTCCAGTGAATTTGTATTTACTTCAAAATAAATTGTTTTTAAAAACGCACCTTGTGGTGTACATCAATATTCTCTAAACATTTTGCATTAGGATAAGTCATAAAGAGAACATAGCCTGGTTGTCAAATGTGAGGTTTCAGCCACAACCCAACAGATAGCTTGAGGTTGGGAATACCCTACATCTGCTTTCCTTCCGCCTGGAGATACTCTTTACGACTTCCCGCACACGGCCTGCCTCCCTTCCCAAGGCTGGCATCTTCTTATCTTTCAGGTCACACCTCAATGCCGCCTCCTTACATAGGCTTTCCCTCGCCCCCTAACTAAAGTAGATGCCATCAGCTAATCCCTTAGTACCTCCTTCCCTTCATCGCGTTCTTCGCCTGGTGTAATGGTTTGGTTAGTTTACTTTGTTGTCTGCCTGTCCACAAAACTATAAACACCATGCAGATGGGCACTGTACTGCCTTGCCCGTGGTACCCAATAATGAGCACACTGCTTGGCAGGCGTCAGGTGCGCCAAATGTTTGCGTAAACGCACCTCACTCGAATTCACGCCCTTGGCTCGAGGGTGGATGCGTCGGTTCCTTTCCCTCCAGGTCCGGGATGGTCTCAGCGCCCCCTACTCAGGCCACCCAGTGCCCCTCCGTCTCCTCCCCACTACTCGGACCCACTAGTCCAGGGAGGGCGCCATTTTCTTTTCTCCAATTCGTCTGTCTAGATGGGCGCCTTTTTCTTATTCGCACCTTTTCCTCAGGCCATCCCCTCAGCCACCGCCCCCGCCCCCGCAAGATCTCCAGCCCCCGCCTCACGCCTAGTGGCCTCCGCTCCCCTTTTGCGGTGCCGCCCCTCTCCCGGGATCCCAGCATCGCTGGCAACTCTCCTCAACCCTGGGACCCAGAGGAATCGTCCACGCCCCGCCCGCGTGGAAAGGGCAGGTGGGCGGAGTTGAGGGGGCGTGCTCTCCTCAGTACTTGGCGCTGATTGGCCGGTATGAGGGAAGGGGCGGGGCTTCAGCCTGGATCTGGCGCCCTGGGTTTCCTCAGGGCATTCCTCGCAGCTCAGGCTCCCGCTTAGTTGATCACGGAGCGACAGCTGTGACTCCGGCTCGGGCAGCATGTCTGAGAAGCGGCGCTCAGTGGACACCGAAGCCCAGCGACTCCCCAATACCTTCAAGGGTGAGCCCCGCGCCCCTGGCGAGGCCCTTGGGATCTCCCGCTTTCCCCTTCCTCTCTCTTCCGGGACAAGCCGCAGCCCGGAGGTCCCAGGTCCATCGCCGCTCTCCTTGGCTGTGCGACCGTTGCTCAAAGCCTCGGTTTCCTCTCTTGTATGCTAAGGATGACAAACCCTGCTTCGCAGTTTAGGGATGTTAGGGTGCAGAGTGCGGGCGAGCGCCAGGCAAACTGAGGACGCGCCCACGTCAGGGGGCGTTTCCAGTACCCAGAGCCGTAGCTGGGGCTCGCGTTATCCAGCAGTTGCCAGATGTCAGGCCTTGTGCCAGAGCTTTCCGTTCATTATCGCCTCTCACGCACACGGTCGAAGACATGAATAAGTGACTCCCGATCAGCGAGTGGTGGAACCTGGGCTCAGCGCTACACTCCACACCCGGGACCCCGCGTCTTTCCTGTCGCCCGTCTTCCCCTTTCCTTCCTGCCCCAACCCTTCGAAGGCCATCTCCTCCACCCAGCCTTCTCTCACCCCCAGGGTAAGCTCCCCTCCTCCGGAACTAGAAAGAACTCCTGTTCCCCAACCAACACCTCCCCCCCGGCCAATTTCATGTAAGAAGCAAGATCGACTTGAGGTTTCGCCCCCAGCTCCAGACACGTAGTGGGCCATATTTGCGGGAAAAAAGAAGGAAGTCTTTTTGGTATTCCTCCCGTATCTCTCTTCCCAGCTTCGCTTTCTGTCCTATCTTGCCCTCTCCACTTTGTCCTAGGGATTTCGCTCTCGGGGCTTTTGTTTCTCACAAGGAACTCGCCCTCACTCCCACCCTACCCGGGCCTTCCCAGTCTTGAAGGCAGAACCTGTGAGTGGCTCCATCTTGTTTCCCCTGTGAAGGAACTAGTACCCCTGAGAAGCTATCACCTTGAACCTTTGTTGGCTAACTCCTTGGGGGGTAGGGGGAGTCATAAAAAGAGGCGATTCGCCTCTCTGGAGTACTGGTTCCTTCTCAGGGGGCTCTTAACGATCCAAAGGAATTATTTCTGTAGATGACATAGTGAAAGACATTTAGGGAGCTGGAAGGGCTTTTCCAGCACCCCCACAAAGAACACTATATTGAACTCATCTATTCTCATTATTTGTAAAGCCAGCCTTGTCCATCCATCACATGTAAGTCTTATTTCCCTTGTCTGGCAATCTTTTAGTTCTTTCCCAGGAGCATCAGAAGAATTATATCAATCTTTACCCCTCACTTTTCTCTACTAAGCACCTCGTAGAGTTACCCTCTAAAAACAGGAGTGTAACAGGGAGAATATACTTTAAGAAACTGATACTCAAAGAAATAAAATTAAAATTACTTAAATGTTGCACAGTTTATAAGTAATGGAACCATATTTGAAGTCTGGATTTGACTGACTCTAAAACTTGAACATAAAAAAGTTGTGCTGGCCTCTCTTTTCTGAGATAGGAAGGTGGGCAAGATCCTTTTTCTGGTACCCTGACCTCTTGGTTCAAGATTCAAAGACTATGACAGTATTAAAAGTTTGGTGAAACTGCAGTGGGAAATCTCTTTGTAGAAGTTCTTTGGGAATAAATATGATCTTTGTACTTAATGTTCATTTAGTTGTTTTTCATGGCTACAGACCAATTTTCACTTCTAAGTTCTTTTGCTTGGTTCTACACTTAACTTTTTTTTTAGACAGAGATCTTTTAAGAATCTAATGAAAACTATGCACCCTCTCCTCAGAAAATTATACCCACAAACAAAATTTTGCTTGGTCTATGTCACTTTTTTTAAATTTGCAATCATTGTTTTATTTTCATTGGATTATTTCAATACATCAATGACACAGCTGACAATGTTCTTACCAGTACAATAATCATGAAGGTTGATCCCTATTTCTTCTACAAACGCTAAGAGAAAACCTCTTGTTCTTTAGTAAAAAAAAAAAAAAAAGTGAAAAAGTCTTTCATTAGTGCATTCACTTTGTTTTTTTTTTCCAATGTAAGTCTTAGAGATCTGACACTGGTAGGAAAACCATTACTAGAATTTATTAAATAGTTTTTATTAAGTGCTTACCATGTGCCAAACACAGCCTAAGTGCTTTTACAAACATTATCTTACCGCAATCCACTAACAGCTTCACAAGGAAGAAATCATTATCCAACATTTTACAGCAAGGAAACTGAGGCTCAGAGTGTGCTAGCTTTCAAACTTGGGCTATCTGATTTTCCAAACTATTTCCCTATCTTAGAGCTACCTCCAAAATGCATATCCAAACTGAGGACCTTGTCAAACATCAGTATTTCCCTGAAGGTGAGAGAAAAAAACAAAGAAAGCCCAGAGGAACCTAGCCTCAATCAAGACCATTTGGTTAAGACAGCTCGGGATGGCTGCTTCTAGGGGAAGCTGTGGAATATAAAAGCCCAAACTCTGTCCTTTTATGTTTTTGCTGATAATTAGTCTTAGAAATATAAAAATGACCAAACCTAGTTTTTCTTAAAGCCAGTGCATTCATTTTGTAATGAAATAATGCAGGTGAATTGCAAAGAAATGTAATTAAGAGTCATGTCAACAGAACAAATCCCTTTGAGAGAATGCCTGAAAATAAGCAGAAGCAAGGGACTGATTTGTTTATTTCAGTTGTTACAGTCGATGGGGATAACTCTGTAACTTCTTTAATACTTAATCTAGTTAAACCATCAATGGTCATAAATTAATTCAAACCAAGGACCAAGTCTGCAAAAGCTGACATTTACGTATTTTTTTAATGATGAAGTAGGTTCTTGGTCCCTCCGATGGTATATATTTTACACTGGAAAAGACAGAGTCACTGATTGCCTGGTTAACTTTAAAGAAAAGTGATTTTTTAATGTTAATAAAGTGATAGAGTTGGATTTAAAATCTATTTTTTCAGTAGGTGTGGAAAAACATTTTCCTGAAAACTATTGTAACCATGAAAAAGTGAGTGTCTCTGTTCTGTGTCTTCCTGACATTCTGTACATACATCTCTCATGTTTATTACACAGAATTATAATTATCAATTATAATCACCTTTATTAGATCAGGAGAGCTTTTGAAAATAGAAATTGTCCCCTTCACTGTAGTTAGCTCAGTATCAAGTACATAGCACATTTGCAAAAATGTTTGTTGAAAGAAAAAGAAGCAGAGGAAGGAGATGAAGATCCTCCACTGAATAAATCATGTGGTTAAATGTTTGACTTATGTTGGGGAAATTTTCCTCTCTGTAGTTTATTGTTTGTTATAACACAAACCATTGACTTTATGTTGTGACATCATGTTCCTTATTACATGTTCTTACTACAGATAGACTACCTGACTAGGCTTATGTTGTCAATAAAGGGATTATAATTGTCAAGAAAATATATTGTACCTAATAAGGAATCTCTTTTTAATTAAAATGTGGAAAGAGAGAAGTTAGATGTTACAGTCAATAGAAAGAAGGAAGTTTCAATTCTCTATCGATATACATTCTTCCTCCATTCTTTTTGAATCTTTACTGTGCTCTGGGACTAGTAAAGAAACTTGAACCACAAGCATTTGGTCTGACATTTCAGTAGATGAGCTTTGAAGATACAAGCCATAAAATGTCTATTCTAAAGTATCAGTGAAAATTATACTAACCTTGTAGAGTTGTGAATGTGCACTTAGGGTTAAGATGTTACAATGTAGTGAAATGAGAGTAGAATTTAGAATTTAAAGATCTGAATTGAGATCTCAATACTATCATTTACTACCTGGGACCATGGACAAGTAAGTCTCTCAACTTCCAGACTCAGCTCCTCATTTATACGTTGGACATAATCTTATTGAAAGATCTATCTCTCAAGGTTTTGAGTCTCGAATGAGAAATTTTCTGTGAATGTTTTTCCAACTTTAAATGTAAATTATTAAGGTATTTAATGGGGGAAAACAGAATTAAAAAGTTAATTATTTTTCAGAAAACCTAGTAATTATACAGGAAACATTATGAAAGACAGTTCAAGAAAGTTTAGAATTCTGACTTACCTCCCCAAATGTGATCTGTTTCTTCTCCAGAGATAGAGTCCCCAAGCAGATTGTTAGTCTTGATATTTTCTTTATAGTGTGGAGGTCCCAGAAGACAATTCACTTCATAAAAAGTTTATTCTTATAAACTGTATCAATAATGATCTTTAAAATCATGGTAATAATAATAACAAGTATTTATTGAATACTTCCTAAGTGTCAAGCATTTTACATAGCTTCTCATTTAATCTTCATAACAACTGTAAAACTACTGTTCTTTTCTCTCAGCTTACTAATGAGAAATTTTAGGGATAGAATTGGAATCTGACACCAAAACCCTAAGCTCTTAGCTACCGCTTAGCTATTCAGCCTCAGTTGAAGAATTGGGAACCTTCTGACCTAGTTTCCTTATGCTTCTGTTTCCTATTTTTTTAAATTAAAATGATGTTACCATCCAAAAATTTTTATGAGAAAAACTTAGTTATAGATACTTTTAAGATGTCCAAGTCAAAAAGCTGAAAAGGAAAAAAAAAAAGGCATAGGAGGGTTTTATTCTGTTTTGTGTATTTCAGCCCTAGTCTAAATTTAATTACCTTAGTACCATTATGAAATCGTTTTTCTCTCCCATTTTTCTGAATGTAATTGTTTTTTTCTTTCCGGACATGGGCCATATTCAGGGCACCCTTCTACCTTCCTGAATTCTCTAACCTCACAGGTGGAAAAGGTCTGATTTTAAAAAGAGAAAAGAGCACATTTGAGGAAAGCAGTAAAACAATTGCTTTGGTACAGAGGCTGATTCTGATCTGTATTCTTGCATCCTGTCTGCTGACATGTAGTTTTAGTTTGTCTTTTGTCATAGGCAGTCTTTTCTTCCCCACCCCCACCCACCCCACCCCACCCAAAAATGGCACAATCACTCAACTCATTCAACAACTATTTATTTACCAATGTTTTTTGAGTACCTGTTAGGCGCTGGGTATCTTTTATATTAGCTCATTTACTCGTCAC